TCTGTCGCCGCTTTCGATATTTTGAGCTGATCTTGTGAGCAGCAGAGGCAATTCTTTCCTGGTCCTCATTCTTCAGTGCTTTTAACATATTCCTGCCAGGAGAGATTCCACAGGATTCCAGAAGGGATGCTTTACTTGCAGCTCCTGTGTTTAACACCCCAACAGTCTCACAAACTGCAATGACAACTTGTCTCTTTCCACAATACCGGCTCTTGGGGCATCTTGACCATAACTGTCCATTAATGCTCTCATTTTGATTCTGGGTTTGCCCCTGCAAATACCTCTTCAATAAATCATCATTAGTAAGCCTAATGAAAATTGGCTTCAGTTCATCAATAAAAACACAAGGAAGACAGTTGTCCTCTTTATATTCTTCTGGAGCCTTCCAAAATTTGCACCAGGTACCTTCACCTTTGGGGCATAGCTTGTGCTGCTCCTCTAGGGAACATGAATCATCCTTTATCATGTGATGATAGATTGCCCATACACTGTTCTTCATTTGGTGTAAGTCACCTGCATTCTCACGTATGGCTCTTCCATAATATTTTTGCATTCTGTCCACAAAATTGTCAGTTAGCCGACCCCTTCCATCAACCTTTCCTCCATCCGACATCTTTAGGCCAGCCATCTTCACATTTTTTTTGTAATTTCTGAGGGCAGTCCCTAATCTCTTCTGAACATGGCCAACACATTCAGAGGAGTTATGATACCACAATACGAGCATTTCAAATACATCAATACAGCAAGGCCATTTCTGCTTCCGCTATCTTGAAATAGCTGCAGTTTCGACTTTGAATTTCGGCACGAGCTGCAAATAGCTGAAACAGCAAAGCACTCTGATAGTAGCTGCGCATCTTGTAGCCATGTGCCTCCTCATGAACACACATTTCTGCTGAACTACTTTGAGAACGAGTAGTAACTGCTTCTTGTTGATCCAACTTTTCAAAAGAACTGTTCATAAGTTTCAACTCCGACATATTTTTCTGCGCAGTGCGGTCTAGAAAGTCATCGTACTCACTTTGAGCCTTGGACGTGCTCGGTTGTGGTTCCTCGTGTGATTCTACGCTGGTGTCATTTCTCCCATTTTCCTCAGTTTCCCTTCGCACTTCCCAGGCTTTTTTCCCGTGAAAACCTTTCCTTTTCTTCCTTCGACTCGATCTAAACTTCCCTTTTCTCTTAATACTGGTTTCTCCCTCGACTTCCATAGACAAATTTAAAATCACATAACCTTGACGATAAATACACTCCAGCACTCGCTCGCGATACTCGGTAAAAAAATCGACCGGAGTACGCGCAAAGCCTTCTGGGCTGGAAAATTAGAACTAAGTCATGTAGTATAGGACTTATGGATTACGGGAGAACAAATTTGGATCGTTTCTCGAGAAACCCAAATCTGTAAACCCCATAGCAACCAAAATCAACAACGTGTAAACAATGGTAACTAAGGCCTTTTTTAATGAGTTCCATTGATTAAAAATCAGTTTTTAGGCGGGATTTTCAAAAATATTGTAATACGCTCTCAGAACTAAAAAGCCAGTATTATGAACTTCCTTCTTAGGCTTCTTTTCAAGTTTGACCGAATTTTACATTTTTTTCGAATTTTAGGGTTAACTGCCTCCTTAAAGGGCTTTTGCGAAACAACAACAGGCTTTCGCAAAACTTTTTTCTTGAGTTAAGGAAAGAACGTTTATTCCGAATAGAAGCATTGATTTTTTTGTCCATCACGTCACTGCTGCTGAATGCACTAAGAAAAAAAAGGATCTCCATGAAGTATAATATCGGCAAAAATTTCTTACATAATAGGGCAGCCAAACACATAAAAATCTCTTGTCTTCCTTTAGAGTCATCACTAAACCGTCCATGACCTTGATGAGTACTTCCACAAGCTATTAGAGACATCTATATTAAAAACTCACCTCGTTTATCGTGTCCTTGAGCAGAGCGGGACGGCCGTACACAGCTATTGCTCGAAATCGAACGATATTTCCACGTGCATTTTGCGTGATGTCATCACAAGCACCCCGGATATAAAAAACGCAATCGATTGCGCATGTCTCCAATCTTACACCCGACAAATTTTGGGTTTCTCTCGCTATTGTAAAGAATAGGCTG